ATGAAACTGCAGTAGTTGTGCAAACTCTGAAATGATATGTGCAGGAGAACCATTTCTTTCTTGCCTCCTGAGGTTTTCGTTGTGCCTTATAATCATAGCCAACTGATGAGTTAGATCGTCCTGCATTGAGAAATGCCACGTTAAAATTGATCCAATATTGTCAAAAGCATCGTAACACTATCCCAGAAACTAAGTAGAAAAATAAAATGAATTTTATTGGAAGCAGTAAACAAAAAAGAAACAATTAGACATCATAAAACAAAAGCAGAACAGGCATACCTCACTTCTAGATGAGGTGTCCATCATAACCGATGGTCTCACAGGAGGTGGAGGAATTGGAAGGACTTGCAGAATCATCGAGTCAGGTCGAGCATACTTTGGATTTAGGCCCAAGAGTTTGCAATCATCGTCGCTTATTCTTTTCAGAACACCAAGAACCTACAAGAATCCATCCAACATTTGACCTCATGAAAGAGGTACATGCAAAATTAATTACGAAGGATAATGCTAATCAGGATTGAAATTGGTCACCCTTTCGGCACTAAGTGTCTGTTTTCTTTCCACAGGTTCAGGCAGCTGCTCCTGGTCATCATTTTTCTTCCTCTGAGCCTTGTACTCTGCAACCATTTTCATACCATCAATTGAGATCTTAGGCTGCTGAGCACCACAGCCACCCCGACCCCTTTTCACCGGTTGATCTGAATCTTGGCCTTGGACATCAATTTCATCTCCACCTTCACACTTGGTTTTGTTCTTGCAGGCATCCAAAATCTTTTTAAGCCTGTTCTTGGGATTCTTTATCCGCATCGCTTGTTTAAATTTTGGGTCCTCCTGAAAAATGATAAACGGATTGCTCAAGGTAATTGACTATTTCCATGCAATAGCTAGAATCAATCAATAAGATAATGATAACTTAGACCCAAATTCCCATTATCCCAACATCTTAAAGAGATGCATTCCAGTTATCTTTTCCACTTCGCTCTTAGAAGAACCATAACGAACATATTACATGGTCTAAAACCATAAAAGTCCTAGCCAAGGTAATCCTATGCAGTCTTCTGGAATCATTCATAACGAATCATAGCAACAAGGAAGCAGAAAAAGAAAGAAAAAAACATGTACAGCGTGAAATCATACTTAGCTGAAGGACAAAAAAGGAAACCAATCCAGTAAACATCAAAATATAATATTAAGAAAGAACAGTACCTCGTCAACTAGAATCTTTGAGCAATTGAAGCAAACAGAACGCATGATAGTGAGCACAGTCTTCATAAATCCAATATGAAACATTGGCTTGGCAAGCTCGAGGTGCCCAAAGTGTCCAGGGCATTCAGCCATGTTCGCAGTGCAAGTTTCACACTTCATTTTTCTGTCAATTGTACCAAGCCGCGGGTCACTCAAACCACCTACTTTTGGCTTACCCCTCTCTGTAGTTTCACCATGCTCAATTTGCACCACGGACATTTGCCTCTGAAGTCCAAAGAATATGGTTTAGACACCAAGGTGTGTAGTAAAAAAAATTCTCACTTCCAACATATGGATTTTGTAACAGATTATATTATCCATTTCTCAATTTAAAGAAACATTGGCATACGAAAACAATCTGGTTTCTTATTTCCTATTTCCTATTTCAAATTATTCAAAAACAAAAACAACACATCATTTGGAATAAAACTTAATAATTTAAATTTTATTAAAAAATAATATAAGTTTCTTTCTAGCTCAAGACCAACTTTCAATTTAAAATGTGAGAGAAGAAGAACCCAAAAATGTCCACTAAAAGCTATGCATTTCAAGGAATAAGAAACCATTACCCATCAGTGAATAAAATACAAGGAACAAGAAGAAAGAACACGGCCCTGGTCCCTAACTAATAAAATACAAAACCCCGGAAGTTCATCCAGTACTCCAACTCTATAAACAAAAAAACAAACAGAACTTGCACATCAATAAACCAACAGGCAGCAAAAACCCAGCTGAGCCACTTCCTAAAGCAACCTAATTCATACAAACGTAAACCATTCCTCATCCCCGATCGACCTCTCAACATAGAGACAGAATCAAACTAAACGAAATACATTGTAATCGAAATTGAAGTGATGGATGGATAGAGAATTACAATCTCATCTGGGCTAAGTATGCCAAACTGAACCATTCGGACTTTGGCAACCTCAGCCGGGGAGTAGGGGAACCGCAAATCCATGGCGAGCGATCGAAGTGCAAAAACAAAGCCCTAGAGCAAGAAGAAGAGATTGAAAACGAAGTTCCGGACTGTTCAAGTGGAATGGAATGGAATTGGAGTTCGAGTATCAGAAATTTTCAGTTCGTTTCCGTTATCCTCTGCTGCGACTGAGAGAATCGACAGCGATGTCCCTCCCCTAAATCGCAGGCACCCCCTTCGGAAGGAGAGCTTCAAACCAACCACTGAGTAATACCCTAGTGGGGTATTTATAGACGAAATTGGTACGCTGGGCAGCTCGACTCTGCGAAATTACCATCTTGTCCATCAGGTTTTCAATTTATTTATTCAATACCATTTTGGGCTTGTATTTTATTATCTCATTTTACTTTAATCAATGTCCAAATTCAGTTATAATATCAATGCATTTAATTTTAATTTATAATGACTCCATCTTATTACACCATTCGGTTCGGTTAGGTTGATCAATTCCTCTACACACTATAAACCCGTACTCAATCAGAACTGAAATGGATCCTTAAAAAACTCGACCCAATCCTTACAATTTGGATAGGGTTGGGTCGAGTTCTCGTATTCACTGTACACTCCTTTATAATTTAACCTTTAATTTTATATGACGATGATAAATATTATGTAGAAAATATAATATTTCGGGAAAAAAGTTAGATCTAAATTAATGATGAATTTAATTCGATTTGATTTAACTTCGGAATGGATCAATACTATATTTAATAATGTTGATTTTCGAAAGAACCGTGTTTTTTAAGGTGTTTTTTTTTTTCTTTAAAATTTAAATTAATTTTTAATAGATGAAAATGAAAAGGATTTATTCATTCAATAAAAATATCTAAAATCAATGAATATTAAATAACAATATTCAATTTTTCTCATTTTCATCACGAGTGATCGTTGAGGCCTCAACTACTTATAGCTTCGTCAGCTCTCAATAATTAATATATATATATATATATATATATATATATTCTTTGTTCTTCGTCCTAATTATTACTTAATAATGAAATCAATTAATTTCTCGAAGAAAAATAATATTTTATGTTTAAAATTTCAAACACGTACCTCGTCTGGTACGTAACGACCCATATCCAAAATTCATATTAGGATTCGGCACCTGATAGTCTCAACATTCCCTTGCGACATAGACACAGAGTGAATACAATCCCCACAAACCCACGAGTTTTCCAACATGTTTTGTTCTCGCTCACATAGATTTCTAAGAGAAAAGGTCATCTAACGTAAACTTATTCAAAGTAAAGCACGTTTAACCATAAAATTCCTATGATTGAACCATCGAATAAGAAGGTTCAATTTAATAAATTTAAAATATTTTAATAATGTACAAGACACACGTTCGAAAGGATTCGAAAGGAACCAACACAGACACAAACTTAAAAATTAAAAAACTAAACTTATAATTTAATTGAAAATAAACGAAAATTAATTTTTTTGAAATGCAAAAACTTTAGAAAAACACGAGGATAAGAATGGGCCTAAAGTTGTGGGGCCATAAAATATTTGGATACTCGTATTTGAAATTTCTTATAAGGAAGATATTTTTCGTGTCATCCTAACCCACGATTAGGTTCGGTCATAATCTAGAACGAAAAATGTTTCCATCTACGTCATGAAAATGAGTACAAATTAAAATATTATTATCATCGAAATAAGTTTAATATTATTATAATCGAAATAAATTTTCAAACACCTAATTTAATTTCCTAAAAAGTCAAATTCAAACCTAACCTCCATGCGAACTCTTATTAAATTATAAAATTTAGATTTTTTTTTCAAAGGTGATTTATTTTTTCTGATTATGAATATATCGAAATTGTATACATTTGATCGTGACTTATGAGAAACCTAACGCGAATCATTTAAAATAATATCCTTTATTCTATAGTTTAAATTGGTAATAATTTATATTTTAAACATTTCCTATATATATATATATATGATAGTTTTGGAATGATTGACAAGTTTTTTAAAAACATTTCGGTTGGTCTTTATACCATTGAATTTTAGAAATATTTTAATGGTATACGTTTTATTCGAATTTAAATTTAAATTTTAAAAATATATCATACCAGAATTTTTATGATTTAATTATTATTATTTATAAATTAAGATAAAAAAAAATTGATAGATAACTAACGTGACCTCCCACATTAGTTGGGGAGGAGAACAAACCACTGTTTATAAGAATGTGGAAACTTTCCCTTAGCAGACGCGTTTTAAAGTCTTGAGGGAAAGTCCGAGAGGGAAAGCCCAAAGAGAACAATATCTTCTAGCGGTGGATCTGGGGCGTTACAAACGGTTTTAGAGTTAGACACTGGACGATGTACTAGCCTTCTTGTTGTTCCTCGAATGGGGGTAAACATGCAGACATCGAACAATGTGCTAGCCTTCTCGCTGTTCCTCGAATGGGGGTAGACACGAGGCGATGTGCCAGTAAAGACGCTGGGCCCCAAGGGGAGTGGATTGTGAACTCCTATAAGTTGGGAGGAGAACAGACCGCCATTTATAAGGGTGTGGAAGATAATATATGCGAGCAGTGGATCTGACCATTACAACTTATATATTGTTAATTTGATATATGATATATGTAAAAATTGATTATATAAATAATTTTAATTAATTATTTATTTATATGAATCACAATCTAAGACCCTCAAAAGAAAAAAGAAAAAAGAGTTAAATAATAGAGAAAAATTGATGGCGGGCGACCCACTTGATCGGCGGTAGATTTGTGGAGGATGACTGGAAAGCGTAGCCATTGGTATGGCGATCTCAAATTCTGTGTGTGTATGTAGATCCATTTTTGACCAATCTGGTAATGGTAATGGCAGTGCCAATTGCTTGGATTTGTTGTGGACCAATTAATTACCCTGAACTACTCGTTGAACAGAGAGGAGGATTTTGTCATATGATACGAACCATCCCCCTCTTTTCTTCTTCTTTCGTCTTTTCAATGCAATCCCTTGATTTATTATCCCTAAACCCTTTGATTTGGAGCGAGAACAAATCTCCTCGAAGCGGCAGCAGCTTTAAATGCGAGTTGGTTGATGCGGTTGTTTTCCGTCTTCTCCTTCTTAAGATCCAAGTTTTTTTGCCCTTTCTTTGAATTCCCCAATTCTTGTTTCTTTTCGATTCTCCATTTTCGACCAACCTTTTTGATTTCCATGGATTTCATAGCCAATCCTTTTCGGCTTTCTTCTTCCTCCTCGCCTTCGTTTGGGAATCTCTTTGACAGAGTTCGAGAAATTTGCTGCTATGCGGTTTATGCGATTCTTGGCAACATTTTGTCTGCGATCTTCACTTTCTTCTTCGCCCTAGGTTTGTTTGTTTGTTTGTTTGTTTGTTTGTTTGTTTCTAATTGATTTTCTGCAGTTCTTGGGATCATTTCCATGTTTGTGATTCTTCCTCATGATAACCTTTCGTACGGAAACTAATTTGAGAATTTGATTTGCCGAGAGGGCTTTCTTAAGATTATTTGGGTTTGAAGGAGATGAAATTGATCTTTGTTTCTTTTGGCAGTGGGGACTTTGCTTGGAGCCATGACTGGAGCATTAATTGGTCAAGAAACAGAGAGTGGGTTTGTTAGAGGAGCTGCTGTTGGGGCAATTTCTGGTGCTGTTTTTTCAATTGAAGTCTTTGAATCTTCTTTGGTTCTTTGGCAATCAGATGAATCAGGGATAGGTTGTCTTCTTTATCTGGTGAGCAAACTTTTTATCCAAATCTTTTGATGATTTGAACCCTCATACGAATCTAAATCTTTTTAATCCTTATTCATATTTTCGCTCTGTTCTTGATAATCCAACATCGTTTTGTCCTCAACTCTATGTAGATTGATGTCATTGCAAGCCTCCTCAGTGGACGACTAGTTCGAGAACGGATCGGTCCAGCGATATTGAGCGCAGTTCAAAGTCAGGTAGCTTTGCAATGCCATTGATTGTGGCTGGTGAATTGTATAGTTGTGTAGCTTCATGTAAAATGATGAAACTCATGTTTTGGTTTCGATGTGCATCAGATGGGTGCTGCAGAGACGAGCTTTGACGACATCTCGAACATCTTCGACACTGGCAGCTCGAAAGGACTGCCTGGGGACCTGGTTGAGAAAATTCCCAAGATCATGGTGTCTAAGAACAACAGTGTAGATGCTTATGGAGAAAAAGTCTGTTGTTCCGTTTGCCTTCAGGTTAGGCTCTAACTTTTATGGATCTCTCCCGTATGAACACAAATTTCTGTTGTTGAAATGGCTCTGATTTTCCCAGGACTTTCAGCTTGGAGAGACTGTAAGAAGCTTACCATATTGTCATCACATGTTCCATTTGCCCTGCATTGATAAATGGCTTATTACTCATGGTTCTTGCCCTTTATGCAGAAGGGATCTGTAATATTTTTCCACTCACCACTGTGTTAACCTTGCCCTTGTAAATTACAAAGAGAAAATTTCCTTATTTTCGAGTTAGATCATTGGTTTAGTAGTTCGATATAGAGGCATCAGACTCGGAACATACTGTGACGATCGATCCTCATCGATGTATAAAAATTTTGAGTAATTATACCCTTATATGCTCTTGTGAATAAACCATATTCCTTCTTTTTTTTCCTTACTGATCAATTATGCTATGAGTTTTGGTTGCTTCTCATTCTTTTGCTGAAAGATATAGTGATAGCCTTCTTCAACAACCTCTAAGATTCAGCCATTGCTTTGTTTATCTTTCAACCGTCTTGTGAGATCCCACATTGGCGGTATGGTGGTAGAGGAGAACGAAACATTCTTTATCCACCTCTCCTTAGCAAATGTGTTTTAAAAACCTTGAAGGAAAACCCAAAGAAAACAATATCTCTAGCAGCGGGCTTTGACTGTTACAAATAGTATCAGAGCTAGACATCGGGCGATGTGCTTGTGAGGAGGCTAAGCCCCAAAAGGGGTGGACACGAGACTGTGTCAGCAAGGACGTTGGGCCCCAAAGGAGAGTGGATTGGGGAGTCCCACATCGATTGGATAAGGGAACGGCTCAAAGAGGACAATATCTGTTAGCGATGAGTTTGAGCTGTTGCACGTTCTTGTGGCATTCTGTCATAGGATTCTTTGTCTTCTAGGTGGCATTCTGTCATAGGATACTGTTTGTTTCTTGTGAGACAACAGTCCATGAATTAAAGACCACTAGAGTTTTTTTTAAGACAAGTTTGGACAGCAGGAATAGCAGGAATAGCCCAGATGACTAATGGTAGCCCTTCAAAGCTGAGATTGTTGAGGTTAGTTGAGAGGGTATTGAAAATATTTAATACCCATATTAAGCAGAAACTTTGGGAGTGGAAATACAAGGGATTTCAAGTCCCATTCTGCTGCATGATCAGGTATTGGGGAGCCCTATCTGCATTGAAAGGTTCTCAGACTGCAGGGCAGATGCCTCTAAAACACACTCTTTCCCCTCTCATTAATGAAATCTTATTAGGTTGAAATCTTTCTTCCCCGCTAGCACCAATTACATATTGCCTTTACCTTCCCGATTTGTAAAATGCGTCTATTAGAAAGGGGCTTCCACACCAAGAAATGTTTTGTTCCCCTCTCAACCCGATGTGAGATCTCACAATCCACTTCCTTGGGGTTCAACGTCCTTCTTGGCACATTGCCTGGTGTTTGGCTCTGATATCACTATTGTCTGTTTTGGTCAATTATGTATCACCGTCAGTTTTATAGTTTTTAAAATGTGTCTGTCTAGAATAGTTTTCCACACATTTATAAGAAATGCTTTGTTTCCTTCTCCAACCGATGTAGGATCTCATGTTTCTACTCGTACAATATTAGTTTTTTCAAATGTTCATAGAAGATATGGATACTTTTGAAAGATTCCGACCTAGAAGAATGCTAAAAGTCATAAAACCATACAGTTGTCTATATGGGGTCCGTAATATTAGAGTTCGAGAGTGACTCGATTATTTATATTAGGTTTTCTTAGGTTGGTTTTTGTGGCTTTTGTTTCATCTACCACAATAAATAGTGTTGAAAATCTACCAAAGGAATTGGAATCTGTTTGGTTTGGTATTTCACTTGAAGAAGGTGCATCATCCATTTAAGCATCCAATAGAATCATAGCATTGAACTGAGAATTGATCTTACAAGTTTCTCACTGCATTTCATCACTACCACCTACTTGCCCTTTAATGGTCACCTACCCTTGTTTTCTTTTGCTTCCAATCAAATCTCACTTTTTCTTCAAATCTTCATTGTTTTCTTTATACACAAGGAAACAATTTCTTTTCCAGTACACAAACAAGGTGGATTGGAATTTCTTTCTTTCATTCTGGTCGTGTAGTGAATTTGATTTAGTCGGTTAAAAAGAGGTGTGTATAGCCGAACTTCTTTCTTTATAGTGCTTCCTGCTCCCTTCTTCATTAACCCATTTAGACCCAACTAGGTACACGTGAATCCAAAGAACCCGGCTCGAGAATAGTTTCTTAATAGTAGAGTCCTTGTCTGCCAGTGAGAGTCCTGTTTTTGTCTGCCAGTGAGAGTCCTGTTTTTTATGTTATCTCTAATTCGACTACGGTACATGATTATATGGTAATGAACTATTTGAGAATTTAGATTAAGTATTTCGTATCTAGTTATGGAGAGCGTGGCCAAGAAGTAGTCAACTAATTGCCCCCTTCTATTCGACCTTTCTTGCCTGTGTGAATAAGATTTATGAAAAACTTGACAATAACGAAGTCTATCAACACGATATATTATACGTTCATACTATACGTATGCCTAAAAAGGATAAAAGGTGAGAAGTGATGTATACAAGAAGGAGAAGAATTTCCCAATGGCATCTATTAAGCTCCATGGCCAGATTTTTTAGTGTAGTTTCCTCAGAAGTTCTTAGAAAGAAATAAAAAGGTAAAAGCTGACTTAGAATGTTACACTGAGCTGAGCTGAGCTGAGCAGAGAGCAGAACAGATCATTTAAAGAATCAAAGTGAACCTTCTCTCATCTCTCCTTGATATACAACAACTTGGTGGGTCACTGAATCCCTGAGAAGCTTTGCATTATTATTCATTGGGGAGTAGTGTTGAGCTTAGAAGCTGCTACAGCCTTTGCAGATAGGTTCACCCCTCCCCCTCTCACTGACAAAACAGGGCTCCTTCCTCCTGAACCACTCGAACCCAGAAACACAACTATCACCGTTGTGTCGTCGTGAAAATGACGCCGAACCCCACGGTCGATCTTCTTCAAGTCCGAGTACCGCATTTCTCGTTTCTTAGCTGCTTCCTGCATTGCTGCTTTCACCAACCTCCTTGCACTTCCCTATTTGTAGGCAATAAAACAAGAGAGAATAACTTTACTGAATACAATTGACAATGAGATTTACACTCACAAAAACACAACTTACACTGTGAGGATTCTTGTGAACAATATCAACTGCTTCCTGGTTGCTAAGGTGCTCCCATAGCCCATCAGAAGCAAATATGAGGAATTGATCGTTCGGATCGAGTTCGTGCACAGAGATTGCTGGTTCTGAGCTCAGAATAGGCCTACTGAATGGTTCTTGGAGGCGAAACTTAGCATACAATGGCTCCCGGTTGAATTCTGGCTTCTTGAGATATACGTCTCCAATTGACCGAGAAATCTGCATACGAGTTAAAAGGGAAGTTTTGGATTGGGACAGAAGATAGGCTCAAATATGCCACGGTAGTCTATAAATTAGTATGCAAATAACTTGTGGCTCGACAACATCGGATCCAACACGACTCTTCGATTTGACGCAACTGATGCTAATAAAAGAATGAAAAATCCCCAAAACAAATGGAAACATAATCAAGAGAGGCTGTTGCATGAGACAGAACCAAGAAGGTTTTGCACGCGTCGGTAACCAAACATTTTCTTCACCTATGGCATCTAAAAGCTCACCCAAACTCGGGACATTTCTCAACTTTTAATGCACAAACAGATGGCCGGACCAAAGAACATGTCTAACCCACAAGTTCTACCAAGTTAGCTCGACTCTAACCATGTGAGATCCCAAATCAGTTGGGGAGTGGAACGAAACATTTCTTATAAGAGTGTGGAAAAGATAGTATCGTTATAACCACAGCAGCCAAAGATTCGATACCTTTCAAGTATAAAAATAGCCCAAAACTGAAAATATGAGGATCAACCATGCTTAGGAAGTACCTGAATCAAGCCCTTTACGCGCCATACATTATGCTTCAACACCACTATACGGGGGTCATCGGGGTGCGAAGACTGCATCTCCTGGCGGACTGACGGTATACTTGCATTGTGCTCTGATGATAGCTGAATCGGAAGAACTTCTCCAGTGGACCGAACAAGCCTTCCCAACACGGCACGGGAATCACCTAGGTTCGCAATGTACAGTTTCCCGTCACAAATCACTCCAACCAGACAGCAAGAACCAACAGCCGCAATCTGGGGGTTCATAGGCCATTGCTTGGTGACAATAGAGAGAAACCCCTCTTCGGTTGCTTGGAATGCTTTCTTTATCACATTTGCTGACATTGCCTTTTCTTCTGTGGCAAACACTGAACAGTAAAAAGTGAATCGACCAATTAGACCAGTTAAGCGTTTATTTGATTATATCGGCTACTTGTGTCGCTCGAACCGATTCTAAAACTAATGCTTGCAACAATCCCTACTTCTTAAACGATGCATTTATCAGATTCAAGATGTTTAAACTCCCCTTACCTTTGAGATGCTGGAACAAGTTAGCACATATGAATCGCGATGTCTCAGGGCCACCATGGCCATCGTATATTCCAACAAAGGTTCCATAGGGTCCCGACTCGAGCAAGCTCAAGGGGCCAGACTCAAGCTGGCTCTGATCCTCAAGTAAATTGTTGGCCTGAACAACAGCCATTGAAAACTCTCCATTGATATGGTGGCCATGGTCCTTGTACCAAAGTAGCCCATCTTGGCAGCCAGCTGAATCGGAACCACAGCCCCGACGTGCCTGCCGATCAGCACATGGCTGCCAGCAGGCCCTCAGGAAGTTCATCAAACTTGATAACATCCCTCATTGCACCAGAGCCACCCTCCAATTCCTCCACATCCAAAATGGATGCAACACCAATCCCACCTCAAAATCCTTCCCTGCAGCCCCAACAATCAAAGATGAGCCACAAAACCAGTTCATCAAAACCAACCCCATATTCCTTCCTATTTAAAGCTCAAAATTCCCAGGAAAACAAACAGAAAATACAAACGAGAAACGAAGAACAGCATTAAGAACAAGAATCAGATCAAAATCTACCTCTACATTCTAGAGTTCAATCGTTTCCACAGTTGAAGTTTAAGAACAAGAAACAGTCAATAATTTAATCCGAGAGAAAACGAAATCGAAAAAGGAAAAACATCAACCACAGATTCTCTTATCAACAGTAACAAGAATGAAAAAGAAACAATAAAAAAAAACAGAATAAGCGAAGAACAGTATGAACTCACTGTAATTAGGCTTTTCTGGTCAGTTGGGGTCAGCTACTACTGGTCGAAACCAAATGAAAACGACGGAGATCTAAAAGAGACGCAACAATACATGTGCAAGTAAAATTGTTAGATCAACAGATCCATCGATCCCCAAAATAGGGAAATGGGTCTTTTACTGCAACAAATTCCTTCTCAAACCTGTTCTTAATTCCAGAACAAAACCAATGAGGAAGAAGAAGAACATAGAAGAACTCTCTTGATCCATATGAAAACAGAGTAATATATATTGTTAGGTCAATCCTCCACTTTTCATTAATTTACCTCTCTAATTGAACTAACCTGAGAAGAGCTCTCAAATTTTAGACCCATCTTTGACTTTTCTTCCGACCCATCTCCACAAAACTTGAAAAAGTTAGCAAACAGCACTGAAATTTTGATGGGGTTTTGTCCTTTTACGAATCAGGAAGTGGGGTGGAGTCATTTTCTTCGATTTCGTGAAGACCAGTAATGGAGTGGGGTAAATATCTTGGGGCAAATTTTCAGGAGGAGAAATGAGTATCGCTGTGGCGCAAGAGGCGACGTGTCTATCGATTGAGAAGAACAAGACGACACGTGGTGGGATTCGACGATCAGCAAGCGGCTTCCATTGTATGGATTCTTAGCTCCACAAGAATCTGACGAGTCGTATTCAAACACCGATCATTTTTTGGTGGTTGATTCGGAACGGTGCTTGTTTTTTTTAGGGTTTTGATCGATTTGTCAAACGGGGATTCGTGGCTTTCCGTTGCCAATTGTTTGTTTATGATGATTCTTGATATGTTCGTTGTTTTTCTCAATGGAGAGACATTTTCAGTATTGAAGTTACTACGATCTTGATCTTGATCTTGTTTTTGTTCGTAACTTAGTGTCCTAATGAAATCTAGCGATATCACATTTCATTGTCTTTTGTGCATGATTTTTAGTTCGTCGTGGTCATATTTGAAAGAACGAGAACGAGGATGAGTCGGTACATTTTAATACGTGATTTTGAGCCATTTTTCTTTCAGAGTTTGGTTCGAACCTATTATCGTCATGCCACGTCTTAGGTTAGTTAGTGTGATCTAGGATAGAACGTGACACACACACACTCAATCGCCATCTTCTCCCCTCCTCTCGCCTAACACATTACTTCACATAGCTCGTTTCTGACATCACCTTTGTTTCTTTTGATTTGTCTTTGACAATTGAGTTCGGTCTAAACAATGTCTCAGCTCAATCAAATTCAATATCTAAACACTCGTCATTGATGTGTTTCTTTTGATTTGTGTTTGATTGCCCTGAAATCTATAACAGTCGGGCTAACGTATCGTTGTCAGTCTCACAATTTTAAAACGCGTCTACCAGGGAGTGTTTTTCACACTCTTATAAAAAAATGTTTCGTTCTCCTCTTCAACCGATGTGGGATCTCACAATTCACCCCCTCGAGAGTCAGCGTCATCGTTGGCACATCGTTCACGCGTCTGCCTCTCATATCATTTATAACAACTCAAGCCCAACGCTAGCAGATATTGTATGTTTTAGCCCGTTACATATCACCGCCAGTCTCATGAATTTAAAACGCTTATGCTGGAAAGAGATTTCCACATCCTTATAAGAAATTATTCGTTCCCTCCAAACTATATGAGATTTCACAAAATCAATCCTCCATCGTTCTCAAACAACTTTTATTCTTATTGAATAATTCTTGATGGACAGTGTTGTCATTTTGGGAAAGAAATTGCATGCAATTTAACTGGAACTCGATAGTGGACTTTTATTTACACAACCCGACAACTTAACCCAAGTCAATTCTTTCCGGTGGGTTGACTAGCATAATTTAAAAAAAAAATTAAAATAAAAATCATTTAAATTAAAATAAAGTAAAAGAAAAATTAGCGCAACTAATTGATGGAACCGAATCGGCGAGTACTAAGTTGACTAAGATTACGCGTATTGTTTGTCCATGGAAGACTTTGAATGATAAAGTCTCACAACTCATGGTCGCCAAATTGGAAAAATTGAGCCTCCCCTTTCGAAAATATAATAATAACAATTCAATTTTACTTTTAAATTTCAAAAAATAATTTTTTTAATTATTTTTCACGACCATAGATATTGTCGTATTTGTACTTTTCAAGTAAGGCTTTCCTTCAAGGTCGGGTGGCTTAGCGTTCTCGCTGACACACTGCTCGAAATTGACTCATACTATTTGTAACAACCTAAGCCCACTAGACAAATATTGTCAACTCTAGGCTGTTATGTATATTTTGTTATCTTCTTCAACCGACTTAGGATCAAGATATGTATTAGTTCGTGAAATTAATATTCGAATTTAAGTCCGAGTAGATAATATAATAATATTTTAAAAAATGTAAGTTAAATTATTATTATTTTTTTTGAGTTAAAAAAAACAAATTTTTAATTGAATAAAAAAAAAGAGAAAAACAGGGGACCCGCCGCCAGTCTACGGTTCCGTCCAGAGTGTAGAACGTCAACAGAGAGAGAGAGAGTGAGAGAAGAAGAAAACTGCGGCTGAGGCTGACTTGCGAGGAAGACGATCCCTTCTCAAAGTCTCCTTCGCAAATCCTTCGAAATTCATATGTAATGCCATTGTTTTGTCTTCATAATCATCATCTTCTTCTTCTTCAATCCTTTCTAATTCTACTTCTATTTCCCCCAAATCAGAATCCATGGCTTCCCCTTCTCCCTTTTCCCTAACGCTCTGCGTTTTCTTTTCCGTTTTCAGCTTCCTTTCCCGTTCCTCTCTCGCTCTCGGATCTTTTAGCTTCGATATCCACCACCGTTACTCCGACGTCGTCCGTGGAATCCTCCCCGTCGATGGCTTACCGGAGGAAGGGACTGTCGACTACTACACCGCCATGGTCCGTAGGGATATTCTTCTTCATGGTCGTCGACTTTCTGAAGATCAGCCTCCTCTAACTTTCCTCCTCGGCAACGAAACTGTTCGAGTTAACCCGCTGGGATTGTACGTATTTACGTTTTTTAATTCCATTTTTAGCCGTTTTTAGTTGCTTTCGAGTTGAGATTCGGTGTGTGGGGGATTTTTTAATTAATCACTTCCGTCTTTGAATCTCTGAATCTTCCTTTGTGATTCTTATGTTTACTAATTTTCTTTCCCCTTTTGTGTTGTTGAATTTCAGCCTGCATTACGCTAAGGTTACAGTGGGAACGCCTAAGGTTTCGTATTTAGTGGCGTTGGATACTGGCAGCGATTTGTTCTGGTTACCATGTGATTGTGTTAATTGTGTTACAGAGTATAATACATCCGAAGGGGTAACGATTCTTCAACCCTTTTCTTTCTTCTAGTGTTCGATTAAAACTTTAGAGGGCTGGTTGGTTCTTTTTTGAAGCCCGTCACATGAGAAACACGAACACAAACACACCATGATATGGGCATATGATGAATGGTACTTGCTATTTTATGAGATATGAGAAATTAGGTCATAGAGTAACAGCTATCGTTCGCTAACGATGGTCTTGGACGGTTACAAATGGTATCAGAGCCACATACCAGGTGATGTGCTAGCAAGAAGGCTGAGCCCCGAAGAGGGAGGTGGACATGAGGGGGTGTGCCAGCAAGGACGTTGGACTCCAAAGGGGATGGATTTGGGAGGTCCCACATCGATTGGAGAAGGAAATGAGTGTCAACGAGGATGCTGGGCCTCAAAGGGGAATGGATTGTGAGATCCCACATCGGTTGGGAGGAGAACGAAACACTCTTTATAAGGGTGTGGAAACCTCTCTCTAGCATACGCATTTTAAAAACCTCAAAGGGAAGTCGAAAAGCCTAAAGAGAACAATATCTGCTAGCGGTGAGCGATGTTTGAATATATATTTAAATGGATATGGGTTCATATAACAATATGTGTCAAGCTTCAAGTGGGTTGGACATTTATCTGAGTGGTTTAAGATCTTTATAGAATAAGGAGATTCGAAATCCAGCGCGTCCATTGATTACAAGAATATTAATGTTAAAAGAAAAAGTTTGATTTGTTCTGTTCAAATTCTAGTGACTCTATATATTATTATATCCTCATTGATTCCCATGGGAATTCCTTCTTTTGCTGTTTCTGTCAACAGAGAGCAAGGTTTAATATCTACAGCCCCAGTAATTCATCAACTAGCAAGGAGGTCCCATGTAGTAGTTCTTTGTGTCAACATGCAAACCAATGCTTTTCACCAAGTGACCCGTGCCCCTATAAGGTTTCGTACCTTTCTGATAACACCTCGTCTACTGGCTACTTGGTCGAGGATATATTGCACTTAGCCACAAACGATGGCCGATCAAAACCCGTCAATGCAAATATTACTCTGGGGTAGGTCGCTATTTTATCTCTTTAATTGACGAATTGGGCTTAGAAATTTTTGGCTGGTTATTGCTACCATCAATTTAAGAGTCATTCCAAAGAGGCTATAGTTAATTTTGTTCTTTATCTCTACTCAATTGGACCCGAATTGATTTTGTTCTTAATCTCTACTCGATCGAGTTATTGAAATCGGGATATATTGTCATTTAGGTGTGGTCGGGACCAGAGTGGTGCATTTTTAAGCACGGCAGCACCAAATGGTTTATTTGGGCTCGGAATCGAGAGTGTTTCGGTTCCTAGCATCTTGGCAAATGAAGGACTCACTTCAAATTCTTTTTCCTTATGTTTTGGACCTCGTGGAATGGGAAGAATTGAATTTGGAGATAAAGGTAGTCCAGGTCAAAGTGAAACACCATTCAACGTAGGACATAGGCAGTAAGTGTTTGTTCTTAATTGGTGCATATGCTAATTTCATAGTTTATAAGCTCAAAAAATCGACATTGCCATCAAATCGTTCTAATGATCTTTTCTTTCCCCCTTTTTTTGTGCATATGTCAGTCCTACTTATAACATCAGCATCACTCAGTTGAACGTGGGAGGAAACGTTTCCAATCTTGATTTTGCTGCAGTTTTCGATTCTGGGACCTCGTTTACCTACTTGAACGAACCGGCCTATTCGCTCATTGCTGACAAAGTAAGCTCCCTGCAAATTTCTTTGCAGTTTCTTGTTCCATGTCCTTCAGTTTTCTTATCCATGTCATTTTGTAGTTCGATTCTATGGTTGACGAAAAGCGGTATATGGGGAATTTAGACATCCCTTTTGAGAACTGCTATGAACTGAGGTAATTTTACATATGGTTCCATATATCAGCAAGAACTAAAGCTAATAATTATCTCATTTGAAATCTTGATCTCTGATTCAGCTTATTAAAGTTATAAGTCTTTTTTCTATACATTTTTCAGTTGATTTTATACTATAAAATACAGAATATTGTGAAAAGTATCCATGTTGCAAACATTTAGAACTGTTACATCCATAGCCATTAAGCTCCATAATAATAGTAAACTCGACAAGATTTAACCCGAAATAATAAGAACAACTTGCTGACCTTCACTTTCTTTCAGCCCAAATCAAACCAAGTTCAGATACCCTGTGATGAATCTGACAATGGAAGGTGGTGCTCATTTTTTCATCAACCATCCAATAGTTGTGCTCGCCAGTGAAGCCACATCATGGTTTTATTGTCTTGCCATTTCTAGAAGTGACAACATAAACATCATTGGACGTAAGTATCTCAACATTTAGCTGATAGTTTATTGTCATCTCCAGGTTTACTGCATCTTATTGAACATTTTAAAAAAATTTGTTTGATAGGAAGTCATTCATTCATTGTACATTTAAGTTGCATATCATTTCTTTTTTGTTTCATATTAATTATCTACCATTACCATAACTTAAGACATGCATCTGTGATCGAGAGGTCAAAGGTTTGACTCCCTGAACTAAGATAAACTTACTTTTTCGTCCTCATGCTAATATCTAATCCCACACATGAAGAAGAGTATTAAAGAAATAGAGAATTTCGTTGATATACGAAGCATAACATGTAGGATACGTGTCTTGAAGTTAACTAGACAATTAGCGAATGGCAATCGTTTTGTTATACTTCTACGTGGATTTATATCATGGCGATTAATCCTGGAGCTTTTTTTCTCATGATGTTTGTTGTGTATCAACGCAGAAAACTTCATGACTGGTTATCACATAGTTTTTGACCGTGAAAAGATGGTTTTGGGATGGAAGGAATCAAACTGTGAGTAACTCTACTAATGTTCTCTGTCTGTTTAAGGACTTTCATGTTTGTGTATATTCAGCTCTTAAACTTTAAAAAGGCGCCAATTTCAAAAACGAAAAGTTACCCGACGAGGTCTTAACTTTTTGTTTTTCGTTTCGGAATAAAACTCGTTACGTTCTAACGTGGGATCTTCGTCATCATGCAGGCACCGGTTATGAGGATGTTAAAACGAACAATCTTCCCATCCATCCATCGACTGCACCCACCGCGGCCCCTGCCCCGGGCACAACAATCAAGCCAGAAGCCAACAGCCAGATGAATAACAGTTCTGAAACATTAGACAAACCAAGATCTGCAAATAATAGCAAAAAGCTTGGAAGCTCAGTCATTCTCAGGTTGTTAATGGCTGGTGTTCCATTTTTGGGTTTTGTTTGATCATTATATTATATTCTTATATTGTTTAACAGTGATATAGTGTGAGTTTATTTATAGTTTGATAGATACTTTCATGTAAATGAAACTGTTTGCAAGTGGAAGTACAGATAGATGCTTTCATATATAGAAGAAATTCATCTTTGAGTATGAATTGGCCTTTGCCCTTTGCCCTTCTTTCATTTCAGCTTTGATGTGCTCTTCTCAACTATCAAATCCTTTGTGCATTTGGCTTTGTAATTTGAAGTAGTGCTTTTGATGACGCCTTGGAAGGGAAGATCTTTGAGAAAACAAGGTTGAATAGGGGCCAAGTATTAACGTTAAAGTCAAACTAAGTTGAACGATAATCGACATGTATCTTTGATTAAGAAGTTAAGTGAAACACAAGGTTTAAGAATAAGGACTCGGTATTAGTTTTATCAAAATATAGGGGCTAAAAATTTAAGTCAACCTGAGCTCAAATATGTATCTTTGACTAAGAAGTTAAAGTCAAACACAAAGTTTTAATGATATGGACTAAGTATTAATTTTATCAAAGTGAAACTATCACACCTCAGATCCACTACTAGCAGATATTGTCCTCTTTGGGCTTTCTCGAGTCCTTTTTGGGCTTTCTCTTTCGGGCTTCCCCTCAAGACGTCCTTTTTGAGCTCTCTTTCAGGCTTCCCCTGAAGACTTTGAAACGTATCTGCTAGGGGAAGGTTTCCACACCCTTATAAATGGTGGTTTGTTCTCCTCGCAACCAACGTGAGGCATACCTTTGGTTTATTGCTCACGTTACCTTTGGTTTATTGGCATTTTTGTAAAATGGGTACGGCCCATTGGGCCAAGTAGTAGAGAAAGAAAGCCCATAAGGAAAGCCCAAAGTGGAGCCCAGATGGAAATTAGGAAGAGGACGATGAACAATGTCTACAAATAATCTTTCCCCCTTGAAACCTTCGTTTTCACTCCCTTCTCCCTTTCTCTCTGCTGTTTCTCGAAACACCTCCCAAGTTCCAACCTTCTTCTTCTTCTTCCAGCTATGGCGTTTGCTCGCTGCTTGCTCCCTCTTCCTCTCGAGACTTTGAAGCATCCCACTTCTTCAATTTTCGCTTCTTCTTCTTCCACTCAATGTTCTTTCACTGTCGCGTTTAATTCCGCTTCTCGTCGGCGCGGTGATTTTAATCTCCCAATCTCCACTCTCTGCTGCAAAACGGGCCATCGCGGTATGTTTCTCTATCTATTTATTTTTCGTATTTCATCTGATTTGCCTCTCACTGTCCCACTCTCTCCTTTGCTTCATTTTTTTGTAAATTGTATTGTTGCTCTCCGATTGTATGGCGCTTAAGTTTATCGGGTGGTGGTAGATTCTTTTTTGGTTCTGTTGCGAATGTAGGGTTATGTGACGCTTCATTTCTTTGATTAATGTCTTGGTTTGTGATTCAGTATTTTTGGAGGACGATTTTGTTCTGCTACTGACACTTGTGAGCTCATGCTGTGAATTGATGGCTATATTGATCTAATTTGGAATCAATTCTATTCAGGAACTGGATTTTGAAACACATTTTTGGCCTTTAAAACTGTAACGATTGGATCCAGATGCTAAGATTCTTGTTAAGATCAAGTAGTGGATAATTGAACTACCTTTAGTGTGTTATGGTAGGTTTCACTCACTTTCCTATTATCAAGTGCAAATTTTAATTAAAATTTGACTTCAGACTTATTCAAGGATAAATAAAAGTGAGGACCGAAGTATAATAAGCGCCATGGCAGAAGAAAAAGAAAATTGTATACTATGGGTTCCCTTTACGCCTTTTTATCGAAACCCATTTTTCTTTTTGCTTCTTTGCATCAAAGTTCTTCTGTAATTTTTTTTTTCTGAAGAGGAATCTTATCTTTGTAACTTTTGTTTCTTAGGGACGTGTGGAATAAGGGAGTATTCTGCCTTTTTATGTACTGATTGAATTTTACTCCTTTTGTTGACAATTTTGTTGTACACAACTCTTGAGCAACTTCAAAGCAGATTGGCGGTGAATTCTAGAATGAGATAGTGAACCTTTAACATTGTGTTGAATTTTATATCTCTGAAACGTTCTTAGTAAGTTCACTTTTTTTTTTTTTGTTTGATAAGTGACAATTTCATTGATGATTGAAATTTACAAATTTACAAAAGGGATGTATAATCCATGGTGTTTACAAAAGACCTTCCCAACGAGGGAGGTATAACTCTAGGAAGTAAAAATTCACTTTTTTTTTTTTTTTTTTTTTTTTTTTTTTTTTTTTTTTTTTTTTTTTTTTTTTTTTTTTTT